GAAGGAAGGGTCGGCAGCAGCCAGAGGAGGAGGAGGAGGAGAGGCGAGGAGGCGGAGGAGGGAGGATAATGGGAAGGAGACAGCGGGCGAGGCGGAGGCAGCAGGAGGAGGAGGAGGAGAGAGGAGGAGGAGGAGGAGGAGGAGCAAAATGAGTAGAAAGGTGGAGAGGGAGGGTGGCGGAGGAGGTAAGAGGAGCAGGAGGAGCAGGGGGACGATCAGGAGGAGGATGAGGAGGACGAGGAAGAGGAGGTAGGAACTTTGAGCAGGGGGGACGAGGAATATAGGGCGACGCAAGAGTGAGGAGTAGGGAGGTGAGGAGAGAGAAAGAGGCATGGAAGGAGGAGGAGGAGCAGGAGGAGGAGGAGGAGGAGGAGGAGGAGGAGGAGGAGGAGGGTGAGGAGAAGGAGGTTGGAGGAGGAGGAGGAGGGAGGATCGGAATAATGAGGAGGAAAAGGGGAGGAAGGAGGAGGAGGAGGAGGAGGAGGAGAAGTTCGGCGGCGTCTGCTTGGTTCCACTCGGCCTGGCTCGGGGCCGCGGGCCCGTTGGGCCCCGGGTGCTTCGGGCTCGGGGCCCCAGCCCTCGGTCGTCGGATGGGGTCGCGGCCACCGTGGGGCGACGTGCGATGGGGAGCGGCCTTGGGCAGGAAGGCAAATGCACCGAGCCTGGGCCCGAGGTCGGCCAGGCCAAGATCGGTGCAGGCGTGTAGGTGGTGCCTTCCGATTCAATGGTTGTCCTCTCTGGCCCGCCCCTTCCCCGGGACGTGCCTGCCAGGGCGCCTCCCTGGTCCCGAGGGTATACTTGCCAGGACGCCCCCCCGGAGGCGCCCGAGGGTGCGGTCGCGAGCGCTTGCTTCGCGTGTCGCAGCGGCGGCCCCAGCGGCGCGCCAGGCCCTGCGGCGAGCGGACAGCGTGTCGCTCCGCTCCGCGGGGTGGGAGGCCCCGAAAAGCTCGGGACGTCGACGCCTGGGGCTGGAGAGTGAAGAGCGCCGAAGCGCGGTGGGCCGGAACCAACAGAGCGACGCGCTGTCCGAGAGTTCCCGACCGTGCATGCTCTCTCCCCCCCTTGTCGCCCGAGCGTCTGCCGCCGCGGAAGCTTTCAGTTTTGGGGGGACTCCCTCTTCCATCCTCTTCTCCTTCTCCCCGCCTTGCCTACTCTTCCCCTCCCCCCCTGCCCTCCTCTCCTCTCCTCTCATCTCCTCTCCTCTCCTCTCCTCCTCCTCCTTCTCCTTCTCCTCCTCCTCCTCCTCCTCCTCCTCCTCCTCTTCCTCCCCTGCCCACCTCCTCCTCTCCTCTTCCTTTTCCTCCTCCTCCTCCTCCTCCTCCTCCTCCTCCCTCCTCCCTCCTCGCTCCTCCCTCCTCCTCCCTCCTCCTCCCTCCTCCTCAATCTCCCTCCTCCGACAGCAGATCAGGCTACCTCTGCCACCTCACAGGTTCGCGATGACGTGGCGGAGGTAAGACCTACAGGCCCGCCTGAAGCTGATGAGGAGCAGGAGTATGTAGAGGCCCGTGCTTTTCGTGGTGGCTCGCAGAGGGAAACAGATCCCCCCTCCCGCCCGTCCCTGTGCCGCTAGCACCTGAAATCTTGGAGCGCATTGCGCAGAACCGTGCGCAGGCACGTGACAGAAGAGCTGCTAAACTCCAGGAAGAGAGACAGGCCCGCTTGCGCGAAGTAGGCCCTGGGACCCTGAATCCTAACTTTGGCAGAGGCTTGTTTGAACAAGTTGCTGCCTGTCATCTATCATGATATGTTTGGGGTGGTTGTTCAGTTGTGTGCGGATAAGTGGAGGTGCAGAATAGCAAGTTGCCGTTGTCTTCTGTGCCGCCTCTTTCTGCCACCTTTCTCTGTCTGCCCGCTCTCTGGTGGCATGCAACACCGGGGGACCTACGGCGTGGTGGCTCAAGACCATTATGTTGCTGCCTTCTTTGCCTCGATTACGATCTCGGCGCTTCTCTCTCCGTTCTGTCTCCATCTGCCGCCCTAGTTCGGCAAGTTTCGGGCGCCGTACCTTGCGCGGCGAACTTCTCTCGGGGTGGGCAGACGCGCGCGCCTGCCCGCGCCCGCGCATCGGGCTCGCCAGGCCATCTCAACTTCCCCACTTCCCTGCCCAGCCTTCAGCTTACTGTGGTCGGGGCCGGGTTGGGATTGGTACGTGGGCGGGGACGGAGTTTCTACTGTGGCGCTGGAGCAGGCGCTGGCCGCAGGTCGAGCGCGTGAAAATCGCGCACTCCCGCTGGCCCCTGCTTCGCACCCGCCCCCCACTCAGCTGCCTTTTCGTCTGCCTGTCTTGCCTTTTGGTGCTTCTCTTTTCGTTCGATCTCTAGCTGCCGCCCCAGGTCGAGAGGTTTCGGGCGCCGTACCAGGTACGGCGAATCCCCTTCGGGGCGGTCAGACACGCGCGCAGGCCCTGCCCGCGCATTGGACGAGCCAGGCAGTTTCACCTTCCCCACTTCCCCTGGGTATAGGTTTGTGGGCGGGGGCGTAGTTCGCACTGCGGCGATGA